CCCCATTTTGAATATCAATTTTATGGAAAGATACTTTGAAAGTCTCTATCACGGACTATGTAGAAATCTTTGAATAGAGAGCAGTAAGTTAAGGTGATTTGAGAATTTCAAAAGTCCAACTTAATAGACGTATTAAATTGGAAAGTTAGCAAGGCTGGAGGTCTGGGGATAGTTAACATGTTAACATACTACTTCAAAAAGGAAAATTTGAGGTCCTGAGAAAAGCATTCAAAGTGTAGGAAAAAGCCAGGCAATGGCTTTCAGAGATATTTAAAAGGCAGAATGACAGGATTTATAGAGAATGAAATAAGGAAGAGTTATTCTTTGAATAGGAAATAAAGCTCAAATTACTGCAGAAAAGAATGAGGGTAAGTCACAAGGGGATATTTACATATTCAAATGAGATAATCAGAGCCTTGAGAAACACTTTATTTTGCAACAGAGAAAGACAAATGCCGATTAGTAGTGATAAGACTACTTACACGAAATAGTGAAAAGACAAACATTTTAGCTTGAAATAAAATTATTTCCCTTATAAGAACATTCAGTAATAATAAATTTCAGTTTATAAAAAGTATAATTTCTGTCATAAATGTGTTTTGTAAAGGGCTGTGAAACATATGTAATTTGTCACTGGGGTAGTACTGCGGGTTGAGATTGATAAAATCATGTAAACTGTCAGCCTGAACAAAGAGAATATGGCAGATACGTGATGTGAGAAATAACGCAGTGGTAATGGATTGCGAAACAGAAGCTGATGCTGCTTCCTCAGCATGTGTGAGAAAATGGAGAGACAAGTCTTAATTGGCTGGCCTTATATTTAGAACCTTAATGGGCTATATTAATTATGGATTATAATTAGGCCAAGATTACTGTATTTGAAGAATAATGGGTTCACAATCTTAAAATATTTTCCCTGGTTATTGTCCCCTTTCCTTTATTTATTATAATTTTGGAACATTGAATTCTCTCAATCTGGGTGCCGTTGCCAAATGTTTTCTATCAATATTGACAACAATTATCTGTTTATGCTGCACTGATGGACTTAGAACTTTAAAGATAAATAATTGCTGAAGAAATAAACTAGTTTATGATTTCTGTATGGAACATAGTGTGGCTAACCATTTAGAACATGGTGAGTATATCTTTTAATGGTTCTTATATTAATCCTACTGCATACTCTACCAGTATTTGTATGTCATAGTCCAAATATGAGTGAATTTTAAAAAGCTTGTGGAAAATAGAATTGAAAGATAATGGAATACTGCATAAACTTTTTGAAGCTGCCTCATAATTTAAGATCTTATCAAGATTTACACTTTCTCCAAATAATGTCGTACTGTCATGAACCTTAGGTTATAAGCAAAATTTAGATTATCTACCACAACAATTTAAATGGAAAATATTCAAGTTTAATAAAATATAAAATGTTAAGCATGCCAACATGATGGTGTGAACATATTGAATAAAAATGAATGTTCTAATTATGAATGTATTTGGCTATCTACTGAATACATGACAGTGTGTAGCAATGTGTGTGATATCCCAAGTGTTCTATTCCATTCCCCTTCTTGCTTTTCTGTTGATCATACGGAGAAACAGTTCTTCTCTAAAGAAGTATGGGACCATCTGCTTCTCACTTTGGCTTTCTTTGTGCTTGAGAGTTTCAAACTAATTTTCAGCCCATTTACAAAGCTGATCTAAATAACTTTAAGTTATAAGCTTGTCACTTAAGAAGGCAGGTAAAAAATCCTGACCTCCACTTACTTATTTTTGTTACAATATGATATTGCATCATCAATTTGTTTCTCTTGCAAGTGAGATTTATATTTGCTTTAGTTTTCACCACTAAGTACAAAAGAATATATCCCAGAAGAGGGCAGGAAATAGAATTTGAGGTCAATATACTAAGTTGAATCTATCAACATAGTTTTAAAAATTATTGTGTGAATTTCATTTTCTCCTCCTTCAGATAAATATCATTATTTACTAAAAACAGTTTTACTATATGCCACAAATGACTAAAATGAATATCAAAAGAGTCTGAAACACACTTTTAAATGTAGAGTGGCTAAAGTGAAAGGAGGAAATGATGTCAAAGGATAGAGCAGAGGATTTCAAAGGGTACCTCAGAAGACCAGACAAAAAATTATTAAACTAAAAAATGGAAAGACTTGGAGTTAGAGAAAACTAAATGGAAGAATGTGCTCAACAATTTTCGAGCTGAAATAAACGAGGAAAACAATTCAAGTGTTAAATTGCAACATTGAAGGGTTCTGTGGGCAAATGATTCAACAATGTAAGAAGCATAAAAATCTAATACTCAGAGTTATGGCACCAAAAAGAATTGGTTGATGCTTAACCACTTCACGACACACCATACAATCAGGAATTGATGCCATTGAAGGAAGAATTTCAAGTTGCAATGAAGGCATTAATGAAAAACACGGTGTGAAAAGATGAAGTACCAAGTGAGATGTTTCAGCAAGTGGATGCAACAATGGAAGCACTCAATTGTTCATGCTAAGATATTTGGGAGAGAGCTGAGATTCGTGTGTATGCCCATTCTAGAAAAAGGTAATTCAACAGAATTTATAATTTGTATAACAATATTATTACTATCATGCACAGGTGTTAGATTTTTGTTTGTTTTGCTGAAGGTAATTAAGAAACACGTGCAGTAATACATCCAATGGGAACAGCCAGAAATTCAGATGGATTCAGCGGAGGACATTGAAGAGAACAATTTCTTTTCTTTTTCTTTTTAAAATTTAAAATGAGAGCTTTTACAGATTTTGAAACAATCCATATTTCAATTAGATCAAGCATAATTGTACATAATTGTACAATTGTACACAATTGTACATAATTGTACAAATGCTATCACCATCAGTTTCAGTACATTTTCTTTTTTCTTGAACTCTTTGATATCTGCTCCCCTTTATTTCTTCCCTCTCCTACCCTAGTCCCCAGGAACCCTTATTATTATATTATTATTTGCTATATACAACACCATCCAATGTATCCATTCACCTGAAATTCTGTTATTCTTCCTCATTGAGTGGGGTTATACAATCATCATTGCCATCAACTCTGCCTTCCTTTTTCCCCTTCCATCCCCATCCCTCTTCCCATGCCCTCAGGGAATCATTACTCCCATTACTGTTTCTGAAAGGTTATCTATTTACAATTTCATGCATCAAGTTCTCTTAATTATACTAGTGAACATACACAGGTCTAGCAAGGTTAATGAGGTGAAACAATGACCATAATAGTAAGAGGAGGAAATTTAAAGAACTAGAGGATAGTTGTATGTTTCATCAGTGCTATACAGCTCCCTAGACTTATCATCCCTTCTGGGTGGCCCTTCTGTGAGGGACTGTCCAATAATCTTAGGTCCAATAATTTTGCGTCTCCACTTTGTCCACACTCCAAGTCAATTTGATTGCTAGATTTGAAACTTCTGATAACTATCCCCCCTATAAACACTACATGATCAGACAGGCTGGTGTGCTTCCTCAATGTGAGCTTTGTTACTTCCCTGCAAGATTTCTGCTTGTTTAACTTCAAGCCTTTAAGACCCCAGATGCTATACTTGTTTAATAGCTGAGTACCATCAGCTTTCTTCACCACATTTGCTTATTCACCCATTTTATCTTCAGTGATCATGTCTGGAAGACGAGTATCACACAGGGCCACATTCTTAGAATAAATCTTTCTTGTACTGAGGTAATATTTGATTAGGGGCCCAAAGTTCACTTGCTTCCTTAATGAATTTTTATATATACCCTTACATAGACAAGTACTCCTATCTTTATAGTGCGTATACATTTACATATGTACATATCTATATTTATACCTATATGTGGCAGTTAAATCTCCTGTCAACTTGAGAAGGAGCAGAGTCTATCCTGTAATCAGGTCACAGCTTGATGACCTCATTTGGGTGCACAAAGGAGATAAATAGCTCACTGGGGGCCAGATAGACCCTCCGCTTTGTCTTCCTGTTGCCAAGACACATGGAGCTACATTAGAGCCCTGGAGCTGGAGGAGCCATGTGAAGAAACTGCCAGCATTGAGATGCTTCCACCACCACTGAATCCACAAGACTTTCTATCCACTGGCCTGTGATCTTCCTGCATTCAGCGTCATTGCAAATGTTGTGTGAGTCTGAAGAAGAATTTATAGATTGGTATTGTACATATGGGTTAATACTGGACTTGTGGAATTGATCTGGACTGGCCTGGGATGTTTTCTCAATATACAATTGCTCTTTTATATAAAGGTCTTTCTTATGCACATGAGTGTCTATTAATTTGTTTCTCTAGTCAAACCAGACTAACACAAATGATTATTTTCTTCTTTTCTTCTTTTTCTTTTTACTTTCCTCCTGCTACACCATCATGTTTACCCATCCTTCACCTCTTAGTAATTCCTCTTGGATACATTTCAATTGATGGAACACTATCAGGAATGCTGCAGGAGAGGGATACAATTTCTGTTGCCAAATGGATCTTGGTTGAGATCATAGAATATCAGAAAGATGCTTATCTATATGTAGATCATAACAAATTATAGGTTATTTTATGAGAAGGATTCTAGAAATTTTAATATGCTCCAGGAATACATGAATTATAGAAAAATAATTATCAGAATATATTTTTTCTTATTTGCCCTGCTAATGAAATGAAGAATCCATTATTCTATCTCACTAAAATTAGTGCCCCTGTGGATCAAAGTATATCTGTTTTATGAGTTTCCAAGATTATAACTCTTTATGGGATTAGAAAGCCTTGTGTTTCTTCCCAGGTGTATCTGGCTTTGGTTTTGAACTATTGATTTTGTGGTTAGCTGCCCCAAACTTTCTAGAGTCCATCATATTTAGGATTTTGTTATATTTCAAAGTAAATCTTTGAGAATTGGGCACAGTCACTTATTGAGGAAAATTTTCTATCCAGTTCTACCATTTGGTTATATTGTATATATTTATTTTTTTAAATCAGGGGAGAGCACGGACGCAGTCCCCCACTACTACAAATTATGCAGTTGAGTTTCCCGCATTTGGGGAAATCGCAGGGGTCAGCACGGCCGCAGTGCAATGGATGAGCCTCGCCCTGGGAAAACCACCTTCCTGATCATGATGCCTCCCCTGCCAGGTAAGTACAACTGTATATATTTATTAAAGAGTGTGGAAACACCCACTGAAGAAGATGCTTGGCTATAGATCATAAAGAAGAAATAAATTTAAGTTCAGTCTAGTTGCATGAGAATGGAGAAAATAAAAAGTCTGAATCACACACAGAATATTCCTTCACATTTTCCATAAATGTGAAGCAAAGAAGACTTGCATTCTAAAATCCCTTAGGGGTTAAGGTCTCTCTATTCTGTTTTTAGTGTTATATGAGGGAGATGCATTTCCTGATCACTAAACATCTTAAATGTTGCTAGGTAGTAAGTGTACCTTAGTCTTCAGCTATTCCAAGTGGTGTTAACATATTTAAATAAGTAAACTCACAAGTGACTATACAGATTATGATGCTATTTCCAGAATCTACTGGTATATTACAAGGTATATCTGCACCAAAATATATAGATCATCAGGTTCTACAAGTTTGATCCCATGGTAAACAAGGTAAACTCCAGTATCTCATTTACGTTGTACCAATTTAATATTTGCAGTCACATAATCAGAAAATAAGGTCACTGAGGATTATTTCTTCGGTCATATAATGTTTCATAGAATCTATGTATGAAGAAGGCTTCGAAAAGTTTGTGGAAAAATTCCAGTGTATTTTAACTCATTTTTCCCACATATATGAAAATTATATCAGAGAAAGTGATAACCACGAATGAATTATTCAGTTGATGTATTGTTTGGTGCATGCTATGATGGTGGAAATGAGAGGAGGCTAAGCACCAGCTTCCGACTATACAATCTGAGAAGTGAATGGCAGCCTCCAAGCAAGTCAATCCAGGCTCATACAGAAGCACGATTAAAGGGTAGAGTTCTGGTATGATCCCTCTCACCTTTCTCTAAGCTTCACTCTTAGGCGAGATAGACCTTACTGTTCTTGGAGAAGTATTGATGAATTCTGCAGCTCTTTGGAGTCCAGATATTGTAGAACAGGAAACCAGATGTAAATCAAAATAATATTAATATATATTTACATTCTAATATATTCACATCCTAATTTCAGACACTGCAAATATATTAGGTCACATTGCAGAGTGAAATTAAAGTTGTTTATAGAACTAAGATGGCTAATTAGTGTTCATTAAAAAGAACAATGATTCTGGATTATCCTCATGACCCCAGTCGAATCATAGGTTCTTACAAACAGAAGAAGGAGTTGAAAGACAGAACCAGAGAGATGTCAGCATGAGGCCTTGGCCTGCCACTATTGGCTTTGAGGATAGGACCCCAATCCCAGACCAAACTCACTACCATTGAGTCAATGTCAACACATCGTGACCCCATAGGGCAGGGTAGAACTGCCCCTTGAGTTTCTGAGACTCATGGTTTCTGGGAATAGAAAGCCCCGTCTTTCTTCCATGGAGATACTGGTTGTTTTGAACTGCTGCCTTTGCTGACTGCAGACTAACCCATAACCACCAGGGTTCCTAGGATCAAGGAAGTAAACCATCAACCATCCAATGAAACAAGTACCCACTAGAACTGGAAGGGCCTAGGATACAATGATTAAGCAGACTTTACAGAAGAGAGCACAGTCCTGCTGAACCTTAATTTTCCACCAATGAGCCCCTTGTCATACTTCTGATCAATAGAATGCTAAAGCAGAACATATGGGTTATTTAAGCTGCTAAATTTGTGCTCACAAGAAGTCCACAATTTATGACTAGGTTTCATTTCATAGTCACTGTTGTGTCGATTCTGAATCAAATATCTCATATCTAAATGTTTCTGTTATTTTTGCCTTTTATTATCAATGTCTTTGTAATTCGATCTTTATTTTTCTCCGATAATGGGGAGTATTGTGTATAAAATTACAGGTATATTTTAATAATTATGACATACATAAAATATGGACATTATAACAATTTGTTCTGATAATGAAGAAAAGTTGGATGATGTTGGCATTTCTTTTAGAAGCTGTAAGACCTCCACTTCTGACAGGATCTCTTTTATTTTACGTGGGTTATCCCAAGAAATGGGGATAGAATTTCTAGTGAGAAATTTAATGAGCGTTGATCCTTTTCTCTTTCTTTCATCATACACTTAACAGTCAAATTGCACTGCTTCCTGAATATGCCTATCAATTTTAGCAAAGTAATCAGCAGTTGGAACTATGTTTTCAAGCCACTGAATCCCCTAACTTAGTTCATGAAAAACTCCAGCGAATCCTTTCACTGTATATGTTTTCCCACCGTGTTTCTTCTTCCTTATTGCTTCTTTCTTCTTTGGCATTTCTCTCCTTTTCAGAGTCTACTAAATCCCAACTTGTCAGCTTTGGTTTGTAATCTATGAACCGTTGTCTAAGATGACTTATAGTCTTGAAGTCTAGTTTAGACTGCTTAACTCTGAGTGTCTTTAACATATCACTAATTGCTTTCCAATGCTAGATCATGTATATGGATTTTGTACGTGGTCCAATATAACTTGAGCTAGTTGTAAATGGAGGCGTAACTATGCAAATAAGTAAAGCTGCCATTGAGTTGATTCCAAGTCGTGGTGATTTCAGGTGTTGCAGAGTAGAACTGCGTCTCACGTGCAGTTTTCATGGCTGTGGCATTTCTCAAGCAGGTTTACGTCTTTTCCCCAAGATGCCCCACTGGGTGTGTTCAAACCACTAACCTGTTGGCTAGTGGTCACACACTTAACTGTTTGCCCAACCCAGGAAGCTTGTATATATCACAGCTAAATAAATTAGTCTACTGTGGATATGGTAGCATAAATAAATAGTCATATTTTGAGTATAACCAGGATTCGTAAGAGTATTTCTATTCAATAATTAAAAATATTCACATTTATTTTTAATAAAATATTGTTTCACTTTGGCTGGATTTATCAACCCACATATCTGAGAGCAATGACAAATTTTCATTACAATATTAAAGGAGGGTTTTGTAAATATATTGCTTTTATTTCTCTGATAGTAAGGCTTAACTCCTCCCATGTGGCTGCATACTCATTGAACATTTCATAACGTATAAGTGGGCTTGTAAATGTTTACAAGACAGTTTATTCTTCATAAATCATCCTTAAATTTTACAGAACTTGGAGAGTAAATTATGTTATCATTTCATCAGAGTTAGATTCCATATTTAATGTTTCTACCATGAGTTTGTGTCATTTTTACTAGAAATGAAAACACAACCTTCTTTTTCTTTCCGTCTGAAGTTCTGCTGCCAGAGAAGTTGCTTGGGAAAAGAGCACGCTTGTCTCTCTGGTTTCCACACAGCACAAATGAGGAGACTGTGTTTAAGGAGGCAGTGTGCATGCACTAGACTAGACATTTCAACAACCTGAAAAGGCCTAGTGGGCAGTCACTCCCTACATGCCTACAACAGAAGCTATTTCTTCTGCTCTTTGATAGTCCCTTCTGTGATCTAGGCACACAGATCTAATGGAAATCCTCTCACCCTCTCCCTGCACTCCAATCTTTTGATGCACATTTATTTTTCTTGAGTTGATTCATAAACCTCATGGATTGAGAAGTATCAACCAGAATTGACTCTTAAGATCCAGGACACAAAAAGCAGAACAAGGCCAAAGCTAATTAAATACAAGCCTCCACTCATACCCTTCATTTTTTGAGGCTCAGGACATTAATTTTCAATCTTTAGAATTAAATTTTAGCTTGGAGCCTACACATACCATTGTAAACACTCAGATCTTAGGTCACTCTTGGCTTGTTTGCATATTGTATCATAGCAGATATTTATTTATTATGACAGTTTAAAATCAAAAAGTCCTAAATTATTCTACAAATGACAAGATATAGCACAATCACTATAACGTAACGAATATTATTACTATTACATTAACTACATTTTTAAAAAGGCAAACCACATTTTTTGTAAGTCAATCTAAAATTTTAGGGACATTGAAGAATGTTGAAAAATAGTGTTTAACACTATAAATGTTGAGGGTGGGAGTTCTAGAGTATAAATCTAGTATAAATTTAAGCTTAATTTAAGAATTATGTAAAATTTCAGATAACACCTGTATTTAGTACTAATAACAGTATAATTCCTCCAGGAGTTCTTTTTGTAGCCCATGGTATATTCAATATTTTAGCCAGCCCCATAATTCAAAGCATTCTTCTTGACTTTTGATCTCCCATGTTCATTGTGCAGCTTTCTCATGTATATGATGTGATCGAAAATACCTGGTTTGGGTCAGGTGCACCTTAATCTTCGAAATGAAATTTTTGCTTTTTAAAACTTTAAAGAAGTCTTTTGCAGCATATTTGCCCCATATCACCCATGATTTGATGTTTTGACCACTGCTTCCATGGTCGTTCATTGTGGATCCAAGTAAAATGAAATCCTTGACAACTTCAATCTTTTCTTGATTTTCTGTGGTATTGCTTATTAGTTCAGTTGTCTTAGAAATAATATAGCCAGAATACTCCTTAGAAGGGAAGATAGTAAAACTAGGTGTTATGTACTTTGAAGATGTTATCAAAGGGGATCAAGAAGATATGGTTGGTAAAGTAGAGGATCAACAATAAAAGAACAATGACCTTCAACAAGATGGGCTCAAAGAGAGCCAACCTTGAGAGGGTACTGTAGGAGCTGGTGGGGTGCCTTCTGTTGCAGGGCCCCTCTGAGTCAGAGTCTGCTCAGTGGCACCTAACAGGAACTATACTGTGTCCGTTATAATAATGACTATACAGAATTATCATTGCTATTTTAATTTGATTGTGAAGGAAGTCAGGGTTTAGGGGTCAAATATGTCGATGTCACATGGTTGAATATTGAGTTTTGCATTCCAAAAACTTCTAATTGTCTTTTATCTTAATGAAGATTCTGATAAGACAAAAGGAAACTCAAGACACTCACATAATGTAAGTAATGATGCCTCCAGACTACTGTCCCAGGTGAAACACACCTTCCTTCCTAAGTTTTTTCTCATATGCTAAAAACAATTCTATTGACTTATCATTCACGTACAATATAATTCAATGGTTTAAATATATT